ACACACACACACACACACACACACACACACACACACATGAACCACGTATCAAAGAGGAAAACCCAGAGAAATTAGAAAATACTTTGAACTGAATGAAAATAAAATATATCAAAATGTGTGGGATGCAGCTAAAGCAAAGCTAAGAGAGGAATTCATAGCATTAAATTATTAGAAAAGAAAGTCTCAAATCAGTAATCTAAGCTCCTACCCTAAGAAAGTAAAAACCTGGGGCACCTGGGTGTCTCAGTCGGTTAAATGGCTGACTCTTGATTTTGGCTCAGGTCATGATGTCAGGTTACTAGGATGGAACCCTATGCTGGGCTCTGCACTCAGGGGGGAGTCTGCTTGAGATTCTCTCTCCTCTCTCTCTGCCCCTACCCTCTGCCCACATACATGCGTTCTCTCTCTAAAATAAATAAATCTTAAAAAAAGAAAGGAAAAACCAAAAAGGAAAATAAACCTAAATCAAGCAGACAGAAGAAAGATACCAAAAGTAAAAGCAGTAATCAGTGAAATTGAAAAGAGATAAACAACAGAAAAAAAATCAATGAAAACAAAAGCTGGTTCTTTGAACATACCAATAAAATCAGTAAACTTCTAGCAAAACTGACAAAAAAAAGAGAGAGAGAGAAAGAAGACACAAATTACCAATATAAGGAATGACAGAGGACATAGCACTACAGTCCCAACAGACAATACAAGGATAATGAAGGCATATTATGAACAACTCCATGAACATAAATTCAACAACTTTGATGAAATGAAATAATTTCTTGAAAACCACAAACTATTCAAATTTATTCAAGATTACATAGATAACCTAATAATACTATAACTATTAAAGGAATGGTATTTGTAATTTAAAATATTCTAAAAAGAAATCTTCATGCCCTTAAAAAGCATTCAGATGTGCATTAAAAAGAAAGAAAGAAATCCTCATGCCCAGATACTTTCACTAGTGAATTCTACCCAACATTTAAAGAATAACACCAAATCTATACCATCTCTCTCATAAACCACAAGAGGAAAAACTTCCCAACTCATCTTATGAGATCAGCATTTCCTTCATTCTAAAACCAAAAACATTGTAATAATATAAAACTATAAACAAATATCCCTCATCAACATAGATTCAAAATTCCTTGAATAAGCATTATCAAATCAAATCCAGTGATACATAAAAAATATAACACACCAAGTGAGGTTTATCCTGAGAATACAAGACTAGTTCATTATTTGAAAACCAAGCAATGTAATCTATCATACAAATAGTCTAAAGAAGAAAAACTATATGATCTATTGATAACATTTTAGCATTTTAAAAAATTCAACATCCATCTATGAGTAAAAACAAAACCAAAAACGCTCTCAGCAACATGGCAATAGAAGGGAACTTCCTCAACCTGATAAAGAACATGTACAAAAAATTGACAGCCAACATCATACTTAATCAAGAAAGTTTCAAAGCTTTTTTTGCTCAGGAAGAAACAGAAATGTCCACTCTCGCTCTTTAAAACATTGTGTGGAAGTGTTAGCCAGTACAGTATAGCAGTAAAAGTAAATTAAACGGCATACAGATTGGCAAGAAATCAAACTGTCTCTGTCTAGTTGCAAACAATTTGATTATCTCCGTATAAAATCCAAAGGAATGTACAAAGCAGCTCGAGAACTAATAAATGAGGTTAGCAAAGTTGTGGGATACGAAGTCAACACATAAAAATCAATCATATTTCTATATACTGGCATCAACAAATGGAAACCAAAATTTGGTTGAAACAGATGTCCAAATGAAAAAATTCGAACCTTGATGTAAACCTCATACCTTATATAAAAATTAATTCAAAATAGATCATAAATGTAAATGTAAAACATAAACCTATAACCTTTTAGAAGAAAACACAGGAGAAAAACTTCATAAGCTAGGGTTAGGCTATGTGGCCTCCGCAGCAATTATCACTGCCTTGAAAGACGTTCCTCACTTATTCGCTCACTTATTTTAGCGTCTTTCAACCCTCCACCCAAACCAGAACGTGGACTGTCACGCTCCCACCGCCTAAGTCGCATCTAAAATATGTCTAGTAAATCGTCAACTCTTGAGAATATTTCTAGATGAACGAACCGACGGATGGATGAACTAATTGAACATTATTAAGGGACTAGTGCTCTGTTAACAGCCTTGAAATCATTCTCAACTTTTGAAGACTCAACAATGTGCCTCAGTTTATGCTATAAGTTTATTCTCAAAGAGGCACAGAAGACTCACCCCATGCTTTAGAAACCTAAGCACAGAAAGATTAAGTGATTTAAAATCACACAGTAAGTCACCGCGTGAGTCAGGATATAGGAGATAACACCGCATGAAACTCTCTTCCTTAGGGCTTAATCATTTCTTCAAAAACCCTCTTCCCTAAAGTGAAAGAATAGCTCTTTCCTTCCAACCACAGTATATAGGTTTCACCTGAAATAAAACAGCCGGAATCAAAACTTGGGGAGGGGGGTTGCCAAGTGGCAAACCAACCCACAGGTGATGCGGTGGCGGGGGGTGGGCGCCCAGATCCCGCGGGGTCCTGAGGCGGTCGGGCGGCACCTTGCACACGAGCCCCACCGCCCGGCCCGGACTCCCTCCGCCCCCGCCCCCATCCGCCCACCGGCGCCGCCACCGCGCGGTCTACAGCCCGCCTCCTGGAACTCACGGATCTCGTGTGCCGCCGCCGCCGCCGCCTCTCGAGGCCCCTCCGGCTTCGGGATCCAGGGCCGGGCCGCCGCACCCCTCAGGTCTGTCCCAAGGCCCTTCACGGCCGCGGCCGCCCCTTGCAGCGGCTCCCTCGCGGCACCCCGGTGACCCGGGATGGTCGGGGCAGGGTCCACGTGCGCCCTCGTTCGCCGCCCGCGGAGAGCCGGCAGGCACTGCTGGGCCGCTCTCTTTTCCCTGCGGTGTCCGGGTAGCGTGCCTCCGTGCTCCTGCCCGGGCGGCTCGGCAGCCTGGGAGGGACCACCTGCGGGTGCGGCCTGCGCGGTCCTCGGATTTGGTTTTACCTGAAGGAGAGCGCTCTGAGAGAACGCCCCGCTCACACTTTAGTTCTTCGTACAACTTTGAGAAATGTCCAGGCTGGATTTATAACCACCACTATAAGAACTTCAATATTAAATCATTTCTAAATGGGCTTCCAGAATTTTCTTTTGAATAAAGTAAGACCCTCATTTCTTCTCTGAAGGTGTAAACTTTGGTATCCCATTTTATTTTTTTAAGATTTGTTTCAAGAGACAGAGAGAGAGAGCATGAGTGCGGGAGGGGTGAGGAAGAGGGAGACAATCTTAAGCAGGCTCCCCAGTAAGCGTGAGACCCAAGTGGGAATCGATCTCAGGACCCTGAGATCATGACCGCAACCAAAACCAAAAGTCAGATGCTTAACAGACTGAGACACCCAGGGTCCCCCTTGGTATCCCATTTTAACCCAGTCATAACCTATTGGACTACCCATCTTAGGTAGTATTTTCTTCTTAGTGGTTTATGAAATAAAAAATTGGTTAAATGCAGGATTCTAGGCAACTATGTGCCTAGCTAAAATTCTAACAATATTAAGGAAGAGTAGAATACTGAAGGACAACCAGGATCTCTGCCCTGAATCCACCGCACTCAAGCACAGGGGGTTTGATGCATTATAAAACAAAGTAAAACCATGGCACATCTCACACCTGTGGATGGTTTCAGAGGTCAAAGAAGAAGTTTAGCACATTCTAGGAGTGGAAAAAAAAATTAAGTCCTCATAAAACGGAACTAGATTTGACCCCAGAACTGACTCACCCTTTTATACACACACACACACACACACACGCCTAAGAATATTAGGAGAGCATTGTCTATAAAAATGCACAAGATGGTTTAAAGAGAAACTAATGAAAGCTGAGAAATGTGTTGGATGAGATTAGGCAACTGATGAGGACTTGACAAAAGGAATGAAAAGAAGTGGGCATTTTCTTTTTTTTTTTAAGATTTTATTTATTCATAAGAGACAGAGAGAGAGAGGCAGAGGGAGAAGCAGGTGCCCCGCTGAGCAGGGAGCCTGATGCGGGACTTGATCCCAGGACACTGGGATCATGACCTGAGCCGAAGGCAGACGCTTAACCATCTGAGCCCCCCGGGCGCCCAGAAGTGGGCATTTTCAAGAGGTCCTACAAGGGTAGACAGAATTCAATAATAGACAAGGGTTTGGCATAGGTTGTGTGTGTACACACACACATGTAATGTATGTATTTCTATGTATATGAATGTATTCTGAGTTTGAAATCATAATAAACTTAAGAAACTGGCGTTAGAAGTAAAGAGTTAACACTATTTGCCTCTGAATTTACTTCTGTCTCTCTGAGCAATATTGAGGAAATAAGACTGTTATTAACAGAAAAGAAGAAAAGACTGTCATAAATTACCTCACATTTGTAAGGAGAACAGTTCAATATTATGGTTTGCTTAATAAATAGAATTATGTTTCCAATACTTACCATAATAACATTTTTTTTCTTGAACAACTGTTAATCCAACTGTTTTGCTTTGTATTACAAAGCAAAAGTGATTATCCCTTAATTATACAACAAAAGGACAGTTTTTGCTCTGGGAAATAAACACCATTGTTCTGTGAAGTTCACTAAAATCTTACCAGCACCAGGTATGTTCAAATTTAGCACTACTTTTCCAAAATGGAATATTACTTAAAAGAAAATCAGCATTAGGCACCAAGTACAGTTTTCAAAATGGAATATTTCCTCAAAAAGCATTTTTTTAGCCTTAGGTGAAATAGTATGTTTTGGAGCCTTCTTCCAAATACTTCCAAGCCACCCCAAAAGGCCATAGTAATAAAACCTTTATAATGCAATGTTTCATTGTCCTCATAGAGAAATAGGAGCACAAAGGAGTGACTGATCAGTTTTTCCAGAGGGCAGGGACCCTCTCCTGAAGGTGGCCCCTGGGCTGAGTTGAAAGATGAATAGTTGTGTATGGTGGGAAAAGAGAGTGTATGTCCAGGAAGCACATTCTGGACAGGGGAGCAACCAAGCACCATACCAGAAGGAAGAAATAGCTTGGTCTATTCAGGAAACTATAAGCTATGCAGTGTGACTTGATTGGCCTTGAATGCCAATCATGATATGTGGGCGCTGGCTTGTATTGGCTTGCAAGAGCAGATTGTTAAATTTTCAGGAATTTTGTCTACTGGCTTTTTATTATGATTTTGGTCACATATGTACAAGAGTATATAAAATATATATGTACAGTTTAAAGAATAGTTTTATGGTAAACCTTTATGCAGTCAACCACCCAAGAAACAGAACACTGTCAGCATCCCAGCAGCTCTATGTACATTCCCCAATCACATTTCCCTATCTCCCCACGGAGGAAATCATTATTCTTTCAGGACGATAACATATTTGCTTTTCTTAATAATCTTATTTCATACGGATAAATCCTTAAAACAATAGTTTTAACTGTTTTGAACTTTATATAAATGTATTCATGCTGATGGCATGCCGACTTGCTATCTATGACTTACTTTACTCCAGATTGTTCGTGATATTCGTCTACTTTCCTTTTTTTTAAAGATTTTATTTGAGAGAGAGTGCGCGTGCGGGAGAGTGCATGGGGGGTGGGGAGGACAAGCAGACTCCCCACTGAGCAGGGAGCAAGATGCTGAGCAGGGAGCAAGATGTGGGGCTCCATCCCAGGACCCTGAGATCATGACCTGAGCTGAAGCCAGACGCTTAACCCACTGAACTAACTAGTAGATATTCCTCTACTTTCTCTTTTTTTTCCCCAGGGGAAAGCGCAAATGCAGTCCCCCACTACCACAAATTATGCAGTCGAGTTTCCCACTACTTTCTGATTAACTATTTCCTACCTTTTTACCACTGTGTAGAATTCTTTTTTTTTAAAATATTTTATTTATTTATTTGAGAGAGAGAGAGAGAGAGAGAGAGCACATGAGAGGAGGGAGGGTCAGAGGGAAAAGCAGACTCCCCACTGAGCAGGGAGCCCGACGCGGGACCCGATCCCAGAACTCCAGGACCATGACCTGAGCCGAAGGCAGTCGCTTAACCAACTGAGCCACCCAGGCGCCCCACCACTGTGTAGAATTCTCTTGCTTGAATATACATGAATATACAATGGTAGAATTAAATTAATATTTATTTTCCCTTTTTTTGCTATTACAGTGCTGCTAAGAGCATTGTTGTACATACTTCTTAAGGAACATGTTCAGTAGTTTTCCCAAGACATTATATCAGGGCTTTGGAAGGAAAAAAAATATTTTGAGATGAGTTTTAAAAAAGGACCATTTACAAAGGTGTGGGGAAACACAAAAGATGCTGCAGCACCCCAAAACTAATAACAGCAAGGCTCTGTTGCCACCCCGAGGCTGAAGGGGTGAGGGAAGGAAAGGATCATCAGAACCTGAAGAGAGGGGCACCTGGCTGGCTCAGTTGGAAGAGTGTGTGACTCCTGATCTTAGGGTCATGAGTTGGAGCCCGACATTGGGTACAGAGATTAAATAAATAAAGCTTAAAAAAAAAAACAACTGAAGAGACAGGAGAGGACACAGTATAAAAAACTTGTGACCTTTGGTCAAGGGACCTAACCAGCTCTAGATGATCATATAATAAGGTACATGTGGGAATAAATACCCAACTTCATCTTTTCTCCCTGAAATCTGTAGTGGTTCCCCCATTGCCATAGCCCCTTACTGGACATAAAGCAGGGTCAAGGGTCAAGAGTAAATCTGGAGAGCAAATGGAAGATAACCAGCAAAGGTGTTTATTTAGGAGTGCAATTGCTGGGTTGCTAAATGTACACATCTTCAAATTTACCGAAGAAAAGCAAACTGTTTTCCAAAGTGATTGTCTTCAAAGAAGAGTTCACATTGCTCCACATCATCACCAAAATTTAATAACATTGGATCTTTTCATTTTTGTTAATCTGGTAGGGATGTAATGATACCTCTTTGTGGTTTTTTCATTTCCCTATTACTAAAATGGCTGAGAATGTGTGCATGTTTGCTGGTCATTTGGATTTCCTTTTATGTAAAGTGACATTTAAAGTCATCTGGTCAAATTTCTACTAGCTATTTGTCTTTTTCTTACTAATACATAGGAGTCATTTATATCTTCTGGATTACATATTCTGGATCTAGTTTTTGGCCACTTCCATGTGTCACAAATATGTTCTCCCAGGTGGTTCCCTGTATTTTGATGCTCTAAGTAGGTAAGATCATAGGTGCTTGTCCTTTGCAGTTTTGCTTTATTTCCTAAAAATACCCCAAAGCAAAATCATAATAAAAAGTAGATGAGTTGGGTACATTAGATAAAACAGATAGAAAAGAATGTGGAGAGAATTCTGGGGAAAGAGAATAAAAGAGAAAGAATCAGAGGTGGGAAAAGAGTAGAAAAGTAAGGAAACCATTTTTATTGGCTAAAAGATCAATTCAACACTTGCAATTTTATTTTAAATTATTATTAAATATTACTAAATGATAACATTCAATTAAATGAATCATTGAAATGAAAATAACACAATAAAAATAAATCTGAGGCAAGATAGGAACAATTAAATATGATGCTATTAACTTTTCAATACATGAAATCAGCACTTCACTGAACTTAATTTTGTAAAGAATTTAGATATGTAAATCACACAATCAAGACCCACAGCTCTACAATTCTGAATTTGCTATAGCACATGATAATATAAGGCCTAAAACTGGCATGCTAATAAATATTAAATCTAACTTTATTTTTTTTTAAAGATTTTATTTATTTATTTGACAGAGAGAGAGACAGCGAGAGAGGGAATACAAGTAGGGGGAGTGGGAGAGGGAGAAGCAGGCTTCCCTTCCCGCTGGGCAAGGAGCCCGATGCGGGGCTCGATCCCAGGACCCTGGGATCATGACCTGAGCTGAAGGCAGACGCTTAACGACTGAGCCACCCAGGCGCCCCTAAATCTAACTTTAAACAATCTATTTCAAGTCAAGTTACCACTTTGGCCAAAGCCTGTGTAAGATCCTATTTTAACCTATTTCTAAAATATTATGTCTTCATAAATTTAGATAATGAGTTATAAAATATGAAAAGAAAAAACAAAAATATAAGAAACAAAAATTTCAGTTCCTTAAAAAATAACAGAAAAATGGTCCCATCTTCATGTTTCCGTTAAATAATTGTTTTTTGGAAAAATATTGTATTAATAGCACAAAAGTATTTGGATTAATTACTTAAGCTAATTAGTATTAAGCTATCTTCTTTCACGAATATTAATAAAATGTGATAGAAATATAGTTAAGATAAATGAGATATTAATACACACTAATCTTTTGTATTGCACACTTTTCTCTGAAGGGTTATAATAAAAATAAAGAGTACAATTTATCCTTTTTTATAGATCTGTGTAAAGTATAAACATAACTCTCAAGAAATGAAATACCACCATTTTAAAGTCCTACAAAGAAATTTAATTACCTTGAATTTTAGACTAAATATTTTGTAAAGTGAACCATGTGCTTATTCATAAGATAAAGGAATTCTAAGTAAAAAAAAAAAATCAAATGGATAATCCTATTTTAAATAATTCTTTCAATACAGAAAATAATACTGTGATACTATTTTCCTGAAGGTAACAAAACTTCCATCCCTGTTCTGCCAAGCTCATATTCTTCATAGAACTTATAATTTTTTTAAAGATTTTATTTATTTGAGAGAGAGAGAGGAGAGGTAAGAGAGAGAGAGAGCTCTCAAGAGCCCATGAGTGGGGGGAGGGGCGGAGGGAGAAGCAGACTCCTGGCTGAGCAGGGGGCCTCACTACCACTTAGGGCTTGATCCCAGGACCCCAGAATCATAACCTGAGCCAAAGGCAGACACTTAACTGCTTAACTGACTGAGCCATCCAGGTGCCCCACACAGGGTCTCTTTTCAAGAAGTTCATGATACACCCACAATACCTCAATTCTCATGACACCTCCCATCAAGGCAGAGAATGAGGGCAACAAGGAGATGACCGGTCCTTGCCGTGAGAACTATTTATCGGAGTCCACTCTCAGTGAGTCCATCCCTGGAAGGTGGGTTCAATGTTTAGAGGCAGGGCCGCTGGCTGGCTTAGCAACTTGTCCACTACGTTGATTTTAGCATCGTGCTTCTTGATATCCTCATACAGAGTCCAGGACAAGTCATGCTGTAGCTTGTAAGTACCAAGGAAGTCATGTGGACAACCTGTCCCCCATTCTTTTGGAGAAATAATAGAAAAATACTGCTGACCACTCTCCCCTTTATAAGGGTAGTAAATGTTGCCAGGTTTTTTGCTTTTTGTTTTTACCATGTTACAAGCTATGTGGTGCAAGTCAGCATCTTTGTAAGCATCTTCCAAAACCTTCCTGGCTTATTCTAGTAAATGTTGGATTTGCTCATCTATGACTGTCAGTTTGTTGGTGGCATTTGCTCAGGTTAATTCATCAGCCTTCTGCACCTGCTCTGCAAGTGCCACAAGGTCTAAGGGGTCCCTGGCCCAGTGGGTGTGGTAGGGGCTCACCAGGGCCAGGCCACTGGGGGTCAAGGTGCACCCCAGGAGGGCTCCTCCCCAATCTGTCGCCGGCTGAACTCTCTGGTTTTCCGGGACCTCCTCCGTCTGCCCCAGCTTTGCAGCATCCACCATGTAAACACCTGAAACCTCCCTACCACCCGCCCCAATAAATTTTAATTATGAATGCTCATGAGGTATCTGAAGACAGTAGGATCTAAAATATGAATATACAAAGTTGTAGAAGTTACTAAAATAAATATAGCAGTCCAGTACCCACAAAGTGGTTAAGTGCTGAAAAAAAAATTTTTTTTTAAGATTTACTTATTTTAGAAAGAGAGAACATGAGCAGGAGGAGGGGCAAAGAGAGAATGAGAGAATTCTTAAGCAGACTCCCCACTGAGTGTGGAGCCCCACTCAGGGCTTGATCTCAGGACCTGAGATCATAACCTGAGTGGAAATCATGAGTCAGATGCTTAACCTTAATTGACTAGGCCACACAGGTGCCCCAGTACTGAAAATTCTTATGCTAACCTAGGTTTGTGTGCACCTCTGCGAGCCCTTATAAATATGCTTTTACATTCACTATAAAACATGATAAGGAAACAAATCACTTTCTGATTCCATTCCTAATTTCTCATTTTAAAATTATCTCTAACAGGACTGACTGTCTGATTGATGTATAATAGAAGTGCAATTCTCATGGCTATCCAAAAGGTGTTTACAAAAGTTAATTAGAACATATTCCAAATTCATATAAAAGAAATGTCATTTGGGGAAGAATTATTGCACTTGCCTTTCACTACATCAATCTATAAACTTAATGAAGAAGAAAAGATTCATTGATTATAAAATAAAAAGTTTCTCTATTAAGAATAAAATGTTCAATGATAAAATGTTCAATGTTCATTTAAAAAATACATCAAGAGTGTGTCTGGGATTATTTGGTTTTGTTTTCTTTGATGCTGAGTACTTTGTCATCAATCCTGGCCTGGAATAGAAAAGAACACACAGTTAAAATGCAGGAAGATATTTGAAAAATGTTTTACGAATCATTGATTTTTTAAATTTTACTTGATTTATAAGAGCAAATTTTAACAACACCTAAAAATTAAACCTCAAAATATACCAATTTTATAGCCAGCTCTGTTAAAACTCAAATTAGCCATACCTTTTTGGTTTTGTTGCAGTCTTCTGAACTCGGCCTGAGTTATCTTTGGTGGAAGAAAAGTCAAGAAATGCCATAATGAACATGAAATAATTAAAAAGCTCTATAAAAATCTAAAAAGTTAAAGCTGACTGATTAGAGATAATAAAAACTTCTTTAGTACTACATAGTTCATATTTAGACACATCAAAAACTAACTTTATTGCATAACTTCTTTGTAATTTACTTATTTTATGGTATTACTAAGACTTAATTTTATTTTTGAAGTTGGGCCAGAGTCAGACTACCAAAAAACAACTTAAAGAGGCTTTCTGGCTGTGTGATTATGTTAATTTACCACTGTGCCTTAGCAAAAGGAATTTCTTTCTTTCTCTTTTTTTTAAATTGAAGTATAGTTGACACACAATGTTATATTAGTTTCAAGTGCACAACATAGTAATAGAACAAGTTTATACACAACGTAGTAATAGAACAAGTTTATACACAACATAGTAATAGAACAAATTTATACTCTATGCTGTGCTCACCACAAATGGAGCTCCCATCTGTCACCATACAGCACTATTACAATACCATTGACTATATTCCCTAAGCTGTACCTTTTATCCCTGTCTTATCATTTCATGGGAATTCTGACTTTGATTAGATTACTCAGCTCCCAAGCTTTCGAGTTCGTTCTGTGCTAAATCAAGCCCAGAACAGTTTTGCCAAAATTTAAAATCTAATGGCTTCAGTTAATTCTAACCTATGCTAAGGTAACTAACATTTCCCTAAATGGCAGCATACACAAACTATCCCTTTAATAGTATGTGCTTTAGATTTAACAACAATCTTAATTTTAATAAAACATTCCTAGAAAATCGAGTTCTTTAAAATGACTGCAAACTCACCAGTACTTTTGGTGCTTTCTCTGGGTTGGTTAGCTAGATTAACTTTATCCTTTCTCAGTTCCTGGATAATGCCTTTATTTAAGCATACATCCACATGCACATTGAACAGGGTAAGATCTGAAGTCTTTTGTTTTAGGTTACAAACAGGACAAACTAGAGCTTGGCCTGTTATCACTTCATGTAAATGAGGCTGGGAGGATTCTTGCCGACTTAATGACCCAGTATCTTCCAGTGAAACAGTAGAGGAAGAATTGTGACAACATTCCTCAATATTAAATGATTTGCTTGGAAGACTAGCACATTCCTCTTTGCTGTGCTTATCACTTAAACCGT